AGAAGGGGGGCAAAATTGACGTGTGGGTGATGGCGTTACCGAACGGTGTTTGCAAGCCGTACGTTGACGCTGTCAACAAGGCCAAGGAATCTTCTTCTTCCAGGGAAGACAATAGCATAATTGTTGACCTCTCTGCTGATTATCGATTCGATAAATCGTGGACTTATGGTCTTCCTGAGTTGGTTAAGCGATCCGAAATTGCTCAAGCCACTCACATCTCGAACCCTGGTTGCTACGCCACAGCAGCCCAACTTGGTATTGCCCCCCTCGTAGAGTTTCTCGGCGGCCAGCCCACCGTCTTTGGAGTTTCTGGATATTCAGGGGCAGGCACTAAACCTTCTGCGAAAAACAACGTGGAACTACTAACGAACAATATCATTCCTTACAGCTTGACCGACCACGTTCATGAGAAGGAGATTAGCAGTCAACTTGGTGTTGATGTAGGGTTCATTCCACACGTCGCAGTGTGGTTTCAGGGCATCCACCACACAATTAACATTCCCCTGAATAAGACAATGACTTCACGAGATATCAGACAAATGTACCAAGATAGGTACGCGGGCGAGAAGCTGGTCAAAGTGGTAGGAGAGGCGCCATCAGTGAAGGCCATCAGCGGGAAGCACGGCGTTGAGATAGGCGGGTTCGCGGTTCACAGTTCTGGGAAGCGAGTAGTTATCTGCGTGACGATCGACAATCTTCTCAAGGGAGCCGCGACACAATGTTTGCGTGAGTATTCCGACCTACCGAAATTTACGATGATTAGAAAATGCTAACACAGATAATAGAAAATATGAACTTGGCTCGCGGATATGCGGAGTTTGAAGGTATACCTCCAATGGAATAGACGGTTTTTTTGCTGGAAGTGTGTGTTCTCGGGATTGAACACTTGGCGATGTAGGACTTGTATATACTGAAGCTGTGCGGAGCGTTAAAAAATATGTCTATAAACCCGGTGCAAACTCAAATGGTTAAGATATGCTTCCCTACTAGAATTGGTATACCCCATCGTTGATGTCTCCAGTTGGTGTTTATCAAGCAAGACTTTTATGATCAGTATATACGAATACGCTTTCTCGAATACGAAACATGGAATCTAGCCGGCTATTGAGACTTGAGGTCTAAATCTAAAATCATATGATCAAGTCAGAAAATCGTTAACTCGGCTTCTGTAAATACCTAGCAAACGGCAGGGTCCGTCAGAAGACGCCGTTTGAAAGTCGTCGAAAAAAGGGGAGCCAGACACCGAATACATACTGTAGGCCAATTGCCTAACCGGGCATGTAGCTTAGCGTGCTTAGCGTGCTTAGCGTAGTGGAGTCCTTGGACAAACCCCTGAAGGCGTCTTCCGATGGCGGATGGCGGGGTGAGTTGGCGGGGCAAACGGGGCAAAATGGGCAAAATTTTGGAAGTAAAGCAGCCGATTTATTGCGACATGCGCTCCGAAATGAAATCCGTATAAATCTACCTATACACCATACACCATAGTTACACCTATTCACTTATACACTTATACATAATAAATTTTCAAGGGTGTCTATACTATTTAACATAACACCGGAATTTCCATCTTTAGACCGGTTTATTAGATCATCACAAACGACAATGGCTTCCCAATTCCCTACTAAGAAATGCGGTAAGAAATCTTCCTCAACGACAATGGCAAGAAAGAGTCATATACTAATCTAGGCTTGCTATGTAAAGGCGTATTAGGCTGCACTGGCTCCGTGGGTCAGCGGTTCATCTTGCTCCTGTCTCAACATCCGCACTTCGTCCTCCATGCCGTGGGAGCGTCGTCTCGATCCGCCGGTAAGAAATATAAAGATGCCGTACGATGGAAGCAGGCCTCTCCCATGGGCCCCGTGGGCGAGCTTGTCGTTCGCGAGTGCAAGTCTAGCGAGTTCGCCGACTGCGACGTCGTTTTCAGCGGCCTGGACTCGGACGTTGCTGGTGAGATTGGTACGTTTTATCTCGAACCATTCATTACTTATACTATAGTCCAATTGATTAATACGGGGTCACGTCCGCAGAGATGGAATTCCTTAAGGCGAACCTAGCCGTCTTCTCCAACGCAAAGAATTACCGTCGGGACCCCCTTGTGCCTCTTGTCGTTCCTACTGTCAACCTGCCACACCTCGACCTAATCCCACACCAGCAGAAACACCACGGCCTAGAGAAGGGGTTCTTGGTGTGCAATTCGAACTGCGCAGTCATCGGCCTGGTAATCCCGTTCGCGGCACTGCAGGCACGCTTCGGCCCCGTCGACACCGTCAGCGTTGTTACCATGCAAGCCGTTTCCGGCGCCGGCTACCCCGGCGTCAGCAGCATGGACATCATGGACAACGTAGTACCGTTTATCTCTGGCGAAGAGGACAAGCTCGAAACCGAGGCGCGCAAAATCCTCGGCGGCATCAACGGCGATGCCACCGCCTTCGTCGAGCAGGAGGAGCTTCGCGTGTCTGCGGCCTGCAACCGCGTTCCGGTCCTTGACGGACATACGGCCTGCGTCTCGCTACGGTTCAAGAACAGGCCTGCGCCCAGCGCGGAGGATGTGCGTGCTGCCCTGCGAGAGTACGTCAGCGAGGCCGAGAAGCTAGGGTGTCCGAGTGCTCCACGCCCGAGCATCCAGGTCTTTGATGAGCCGGATCGCCCGCAGCCGAGGCTTGATCGCGACTTGAGTCGCGGGTACACGGTCAGCGTGGGTCGTGTGCGCGAGGACGAGAGTGGGATCTTTGATATTAAGTTCGTCGCGCTGAGCCACAACAGTAAGCCTTTCCCCCTTTTTAATTCCTATTAACTACTTGACATGCGAACTAACATGTTTCATTCATAGCTGTCATCGGAGCTGCAGGCTCTTCGATATTGAATGCGGAGGCGGCGGTACTAAAAGGATTCATCTAGACGACGAGCGAGCATCTTGCTAGCATCTACGGGCGTTTTGGGGGGGTTGGTTGGTTGGTTGGTTCATTTGCATTGGGAAGATACAAAAAAGGAGGCGAGCATCTAGTCAGACATCTATAGATACCTATACAACTATTCAAGAAGAGACGGCAAATGTAAAACATGAAATTCAATCTACCCCAAGTCTAAATTTTAAATGTCAGTTATTATTCGATAAGGAGCAACGAACAAGACTTCGATTCAAATGTTGCATTTACCCCTAATAGCTACGATCTCAAATTTCGCTAGCGCGCAGCAACGGCCTAGAGACTTTTGTAGGTAGGTTATTCTATCATTCCCCGAAACCATCGCTCGGTTTACCTAGCAAGGGAATAAACTTGCCAGACCATGATTTCGCCCGGTACGCCCTGAGACAATTCAGTTTGGGTGTTGGTCTGTTGTTAAGGGGTAATGCGTCTGATGCCCCTTACCTACATGTACATAGGTAGGTACATACCTAGGTAAGCGCTATTAAGTGGGGCTACAATCAAACAATATAAGCATTAAAAGGTGCATGTATGACATGATTGGCCATCCGGCTTGGTAACATTACCAGAAAAACATGGTTTGGTGGTCTAGTGGTATGATTCTCGCTTAGGGTCCACCCTATGCTATAGCATGCGAGAGGTCCCGGGTTCAATCCCCGGCCAAACCCTTTATTTTTTTTGATTTACTTTTTACTATTTGCACGTATAGATAGGTAGATATATTGTTTCACCGACGACGACGACGACGACGACTATGTCTAAGTTAAGTGGACAATGTCGAGTAAACGCTCTACTTATTTTTGTAAGACTTACATTAATCCAATATTTGGTACCTAATGTAGCTAGCCCCTTAGTTTATGCTTACTTACAACTCGCCCCTATTAGACCATCCATCCATCATCCCACTACCAATCACCAAGTTAAGAAATAGCGAAGCGGCGTCGGATTTTTTTCGCGCTCTCTTATATTACCAATGTCCGTAATTATGTATTTATAACTACCTAGTTGTCGTTTCCCCTTCTTATCCCTTTCGTGTTTGTAGCCGAAGTTGTACCCTCCTCATAAGTGAATGTTATATTGCAAGACTCGACCTAGTAGATATGTGGCCAGGCTTGGCTGACCAATCACTAAACTCTTATTGAAGCATTTCATTATATAGTGGAATTGCATAGGTTAAATTACAGTCTATCAAATTTAAATCTCCGAGTTGTTAGAACGTCTCCTCATGATTTAATTCTCGCTGTCATCCATGTAAGTAATAAAGTATTACGGGAAATATTGACGTTCTGATGGATGGACAGATGATGTGACGATTATGGGCTGAAATAGAGTTACGTACGGCCTTAGCAACGGCTCGCGGCCTCAGGTACAGATATAGAAACACGGTTAGCGACCCCCAGAAATCTAAATCCTCGCCATGGCAATAAGGTGCTTTATGCCATTATTATATCCTACGCGCTGGAGCAGGGCCTATAACCGCTTCTTCCCTCATTCTCTAACTCGGAATACATTTACAAAACTATATACTTGTTATCACGACCTTGTCATACAAATACGACTCGAATGTGATTGATAGAGAATAAGTTTATATCCCTATCACCATATAACTCTATCTTCGATTCTTATCTTCTGAAACCTTTTTAATATTTATCCGTCTTACCCAGCCGTTTAACAATTGTATAGCGCTATCCCATACCCGATCAAATGTATAAGTCTCCAGACAAAAAAGTTCATGAAAATTCTATCAGACTAAATGATACCTGTTATATAAACTCTAGAATGGCTCAACTTTGATCTAACAGTAGTAGATATAGTGTAGATATAGTGTTTATTCCAGGCCATAGCGCATGTTGCTAGGAGGTAGGTAATCCTTAAAATAAGATGCTTATATTATCAACGCGAAGTATAGTAAGAAGCATCGAAACAACTCCGTCGTTTCGAAAGAAACTCTCTAAACCTATCTGTAGAAGCTCGGGTTATATAGTTATACTACCTAAAAGTATCGTTTGTTCAGGTATTTCATTTGGAATACTAACAGTTGTTCGGGTCTTGTCAGTAATGCTGCCAAGAAAGAAAATGGTCATCATCTCGTCCCACCGTATCGACTCATGAATACATCTCAGGTATTCGTCATATATTAGTCTCGAGGGATACTAGAATTACTCACGTTTATAGTAGGGTACAAACACACAGCCATAGACCCCCCAAACCCCACAAGCGCCCCTCAAGACCAACAGATTAACCGCTCCAGTTCGTGTACAAAACACACCTAGTATCTATAGACCCCGTTGTGTTCATACTCACCTCCGCAGCTCTGCTCTGTATAAGGGGCCCCTTCGTGCGCAACAAGGGCGCGCGGCAAGCCCAGTCGATGGATGAGCAATACGAGATCGGTGCTATGGTGTACGAATGCATCGCAGCGCTAAGCTTGATGATTATGGTGCTAGCCTGCGTGCAGCACGGGGTCAGCCTGCCTCTTACGTTCTTCGTAGTTTTCATGGCACCTACGATAAGAGCCCATCTTTGGAAACGTGCGGCGCGGGATGTACATGTAAGTCTATTCTTTCCATGCCGATAATATACCTACACCTCAACACATAGGTACCTACCCCGTCCTAGATCCTTCTTATAATTCTATTGCATCATTTATACAAATCCCTACTTATACAATGCAGCCGCAAGAAAAACTTCCGGTGCCTGAACGGCAGCTCAGCGAACATATATCAGAAGGAAATACATCTACGAAAAGCACGTCTACTCAGGATGGGCCGATCCGGGACACTTTTCCCGTCCGAGAAGCACAATTTTTGAATATATCTTCGAACAGCGCCCAAGCGGAAAATGAGTGCAAGGGTAAGAACAAGAAGCGCGTCACTTTCGCGGACGCCGTGACGGATCTAGACCGTCTCCGGGAGCTCCGAAGAAACAGGCCCAGCTATTAACTAAGGGGCTCTAACACGCCAAGAAAAAGAGTTTGGTGGGTTATGAGGCATGATTTAGAAATTTCTTGAGATTATATATGGAGGTATTCTTTTTATATACCCCTATTCTATTTATAAGTACCGCTAAGTGTTTCATTAGAGTGCAGGGTTATACTACCCGTCCAGTATTACCTACGTCTGGGTAAATAAGTATGTCGTTAAAGACGAGCGGTGAACAGAAAATCATGAGTAAGTCTTCTCTTACCCTCGACCATAAATCACAAAGGTTACTTACTATGTATTATTCAGCTTATTAACCGAACTGCGTGGAGAGCGATATACTAGTGTTCGACAGCTCGTTCGCTTGTTCCTCTAATTTATGCTAATTTCTACTTAGAGAAAAATAGGACATGTAGCGCTGAAACAAGTTTAAAAGGCGAATAGCAAATCATCACAATTTAGTCAAGTCCAATACCAAGCAACTGGGGGACCGTCAAGTTTTCGACGCCAAACCCTTCTTTCATGTCTTTGACGATGGCCATTAAGCTGTGGAGATAGGACCGGCCTTCCCAGAACAGCTGCTTGAGGACCGAATCCCTGGCTCCTTTTGTTATCGAGTTTCTCGCAGCATTCCACTGCTTCTCGATGAGAAATCCAATTAGGTCAAAAATGAGCGTTAAAACCCATCGTATCTCTGGCTCTAGGTATGTGATGCCCTGGGCCCAGCAACACCACTAGCGCGCCTCGATTAGTACCCTGTCACATCCCCCGTCTTCTTCGATGGCATCGAGGGGCCTGAAATACGCTTTGATGCGGCGCTCATCCGCCGTAGGCTGTACGGCAGGCCATCCTCTGTAGTCCGTGTATCGGAACAGGAACACTCCTCGACGGACACGGTGCCATTGTGCCGGCTGCACATTGAAAACAGCAGGGTTGTCGTACGGTATAAATTGTAAGAAGTCACTCCGGCTTCCGTCGCGGCTTCGTCGGATAGGTAAGTGTACAATTTTACCAGTAGGGATCGTGGAAAGGTGGCTGTGCTGCTCTGACGGCGATGTGACATCCTGCATGATGACATCGCCATCCGCGTCTATTATATAGGCGTCATGTTCGTCGGATCCGGAATACTATTTGATACGACTTGAAGCCTTTGTGCTATTTCTGATTATATCGGTAGACTGACGAAAATGCTTCCAGTTATTGGACTGTGACGTGTTGCAGCAGTTACGGGCGCGTTCGTTGAGATGGTCGAGTATCTCTTCTATGGTTAATAGTGGACGCTTGTTTCTATCTAAAGGCATTGCAACAGAACCATTATTGATCGTAGTGTTATTCTGGGAGTCAAGCAAGAGGTCGTAGACACCTCTACGGCTGAAAGTAGCAGCGGTTGCGATGTCTGGCATATCACTAGGTCCGAAGGTCGCGGTAATGTCAGACTCGGGATGCTTGGCGGCTTCTTTAGGGAACTTGAAGAAGAGCCAGGCGCACTCCCCGCAAAGTGGTTGCGGAAGACGCCGATGGGCCCTCACTGCGACGCAATGATAGACGTGGTGGATGGAGCAGTAGTAAAATGTGGCGCCAGGACTAGTGTCCTTGTCATGGTCGAGCTTCATTGCTAAGCCGTTCAGCCGGATACGATGACACTCTGGCATGCGACAAGACATTTTGTACGGTGAGAAGGTTTTAACCTTGGTATCTCATATGTTGGTATAACGAATGTGACTCAATAAAGTAGATGTAATGTTTGATATAGTATGTGAAGTCTATGTGAAGTCTATGTGAAGTTAGTTTGGGTCCTGGGATACGACTTGGATGGAGGGAGGGAGGGAGAAATGATGTTACGTGAGGAGTAAAACAGGAGATAATGAAACTCAGGTAAGGGCCGGAAGAAGTATTGGCATTAGGGAAAGTGGATTCGGGGTTTGACACGCGATTGGGGCTGAATTTTCGATTAAGTTTAAAGGATTGCTTGTAAGTGGGAAGGAAATGACATGTCGCCTGCTATGCTCATCATTGTCATTACAAGGGAAACGATGGGCGAGGTATGTATGTACCTACCTAACCTAGTAACCTAATAGTTTCCGGCTACTAGACTAATACATACCGTAATCCTAGCTGATATTCAAGTAACACAGCTGAAGTAGAAAAGCCGTAGCAGGAAACCGGCGTAGTTTCTCTTTCCGGGTCGGGTACTGTCCTCCTAGTAAGATTGGGCATGGACGTAGGCGTGAGCGTAGGCGGTAGGTACGCTTTACGCTTTACGCTTTACGTTTCGACCGGTTTAGGGGGTTAAGGGTTTTTGTCCTTCTCTTTCCTCCCATTGGCACTTTCCAAAATAAAAATATACGACTTTTTAGTCATAAGAACATTGAACATTGAAGTAAGCCAAGGAAGTTCCAATGTTATTAACATTATGCTATACCTATGATATTATTTATGTTACTTGAATAAACCCAAAAACGCTCGTATAAAAACGCCTGGGCCGCAATGGCTGAATAAGCTCTTAAGAGCATAACCTTCGAGTCCGTGCCGCCTCTTATCTTTTAGGCAAACATATTTCATTATCCTATTTCAGCATTAAATAAGAATAAGATGTTAGCGGCCAATTCGTTGAGGGGGTGAATTACCCGAATATAGCTACTGGATAGAGCAAGTCCATCCTTCACCCTCGACGCGCTACAACCGCAATAGTTTAGGACGGTTATCCTTCCTTCCCATCACGCGTGATGGATGTAGGGCATCTTATAAGAGCTACACACTAAGAGGCAGCTTCGACCGGGAAGTATGGGTTACACAGGTAACTACGTGACCAATAATGTAAGGGTGGGAGAAAAGATGGCAACCAGGGATGGAAGGCGTGTCAAGCCCTAAACCCGGTCTATTGGAAAGTCAGGTACCGAGGGGAAAGCGCCCGCGTCTGCTGTGTAACGTCGGAACTTCCGAGCTCAGAAACCCGAGCCAAGATTGGATGCCGGAGCCTCATAAGTAACTGCATGTACTCTTGAACGGCTGTAGTCATCAGGCCGTCTTACATACTCGGTAGTTCGGCCATCCCCGGTGGATGTTGGTACCTGATGGCACTTCCCCATGCGCCTGTGCGTATACATATGTATGCTACATACGAACATGCATCTCCACCTTTAAGGAACCTACCAGCCTACCCAGTAAAGCAACCCTCTTCACTAGGGTGCTACCCCCTTGAGCCTCACCCAAGCCTCGCAGGGCTGACCGGGAGCTAGGACGAATAAGGTCCAATCTACCCAAGCCACTCGTGTCTCAGATGGATTATTACCGACGAATCAGATATAATACCAAACAATGCCGGACCTACTCCGGTACTCGACCTAGTTCATTAATAGTTGCTATGATTCGCTAATGTTTGCGGGTTTGCGAGTTGGTTAAAGCATTAATGTGCGAACTGACTCACGAGCATGGGGATAGATTTCACATCTTTAAATAGATACGTGAAGGCTACTCCTTCACGTCCTGGGTATTGCCGCTTTCTACATGCTCGTACACGTCTAACCGGCCGATCTCGAATCTATTGGGACGCCCCCTTCCCCTCTGTATCCCCAACAAAGCAGATGAAAAAAAAGAATAAGAGAAAATTGTATCGAGTTTCATGCTCGCTATTCCTCGGAGCAGAGTTTAGACCGACTTTTCAAGCCAGCAAGCCAATGACTATGAAATGACGTGTACTCCTAGAAATGCGCCTCCCCCCCGACGACTGATTTTCTTTTCCAGGCAGACACTAGATTTTAGTGAATTCGATAGCCCATGCGGTCGACAAGGACAAGGTCAAAATTGATTCGTTATGCTCCAAAGAGCATGCAGAGAAAGGAATTGAGAAATGATATTGCGATGGTCGTTGCGCAGAGCAGAGCTCCGCCGTCGGCCCATGCCTGGATTTTCAAAGTCAGTCGAAAAATTTCCAAATATCACCTGACAATGGCAACTGACTTGAGGTTGTTCGATTCAGGCAACGTAAGTTCCGCAGTATGGACAGTCTCGTCCGGGTAGGACCCAGACTTCTTGACCCTTGCCCTGGCAAGTAGGGCAGCGTTTTCCAGGGGCCTTGTGGGATTGTTAGAGAGGTGCTCTACTTTCGTAAATGGGTAGTTGATACGTACAGTCCCAGACATGTCAACCGTGGGGCAAGCTTGGCTAGACACCGGGCGAGAGCAATAGTTAACCTGAGAGCCCAGATGCGAGCAGTGAATGTGTGAGCAGGTCATCGTGCCGAGCTGTCTAAGTGGCAGGGATAATACGTAGGAGGGGAGAAATATATCAAAGGAGCGTTGACAAATATGGGAGGGCTATTGGTGATGAGAGCGACGAAACAAGCGTTGATAATAATGGATGGTGTGGTATGTCTGACCAAACTCGGAGTCCCTACGGCCGTACTTATACTTTTCTAGTTGGTCAACGCCGAAACATGGGCCGAGGGAGGTGTATCGTAGGGCTAAGGCAAGAGGGTCAATTCAAAAGGCCACGATTTGCCGCGTTGGGTGCGGCTGGCGTACTTAGTCCCTGCGTGAAAAGTAGGAGCCTGTATGTATCCGACGAAGAAGCACGGAATCATGTTGAGCGCGCAGCGGAAGGCTCGCGGCAGAGGGGGTGTCCCTTCGCTCTATTCGTCAGGGGCACGGATTCTAAGCCAATGTAATAATATTGCAAGTCAAGTTTTGAGCAATATCCCGGCAAAAAGCACCATTACGGTGACTGAGCCCGATGCGTCCAGCCATGCTTCGATAGGGAGCAAGACACGGCGACCTGAATTTCTGACAGGACACAACTCACACAAGTGGGGTTGATTTCGAGGGCAGAAAAGGGCAGAAAGGGCAGAGAAGGGCAGAAACGTGGGACAGAGTCAGGCCGTAGACTTCTTGGCACTGAATGACATCTGTACCACTGCGGATATGGCGTCAGAAGACTCTATTGGACTAATATTAGGAGGCAGATCGTGACAGTCAGTCTGTGTATGTTGTATGCGGGTGGTCTATGTACGTATAGTGAAGTGTGTGTGGGCCAGAAGGTCTCGACGATACTTTTCAGGGTCAGACAGGGCAAGATAAAAAGCAAGAAAGCAGGGATAGCCTGTATTAAAAACTACCTAGATACGGTTGTCATTAAGACCGGGTTGGCGGATACTCGGGCCCGTCGGGGGATTTTATGAGATCTCGAGGTGGGGAGAAGAGACGGAGACTAATAAGAGGGAAATTCGATATATGTAGAAATAGAAAACCGAATAATTAGAGAGGGACTTTTGGGAATGGGGAACAGCAATTAGGAAGTATAGCTAACTGTTTTTTTGTTGCAAAAAAAATAAAAAGCTACCCATTTTCCTATGTACTACGTGATAGGCTTATGGTTTAATATGTACGTTTGTATATAGGTGGATAATACGTAGGGGGCCATTTACAGGGTGGGTAGGTATACATGCAATACCTAGGTACTTTATGCATGTATGTAGTACTTACACCTGCTTAACCCTTCCATGCACATGTGTGCGCATGAGAATATGCACGTATGGTATGCATTAGATATGCGCAATACACGCATACTACGTACATTCCATGATATCTAACTTTCAACCTCTTAGATGGATGAAAATCATCCCAGTATCCGGGTTTGCCAAGTTTCCTCGATCCAAGCGCTCGGATCCCCCGCGTACAAAAGATATAAAGTTGCATGATGATGGGCAGATCAAAGTAAGGGGATAAGGAAGAGAGGAATTCGTCTATCAGAGAGGCGAGGCGAGGCACTTATATGCGAAGGTACTTATATGTAATTAGCTAGCCTATTGCGTACAAAGGGGGGGATACCCCTTCTAGTGCACTTCCCTGTGCAACCTGAGAAACTTAGGGCTGTTACTGCGTTACTTCCCGAGTCGTTACTGCGTTTTCTCTTTGGAAGGCACCTCTAACTATTCTCTAACCTCTAGCTCTTCCTAAACTTACCTTCTTTCCGTCTAGACGAGTGGCTCTCTTCTTACCTCTTACATATTCCGGATTTTGTCCCATGCTCACAGATGCCCGACGAAGTTCTCATCAACTAGTTTTTACCAGGAGCAAATTTTAATCGTTGGGCTTAGGAGTGGAAGGTGGAAAGCATCACCACCCTAATTCCATCATTCCATCCACGCGCATCACGACGCACGTTTTCCCCCTTCGGCTCCTTGTCTCTCTTTGAATCAAAAACTAGCGTAACATAAAAAGAAACAAACGCCGATTCGTTGTCTACCCTGTCACTCTCCCGTACTACCGCTGCAGTATCCACGCGACGTTGCCGTTGTTGTATTATTTTTGATATCATTTACCACCTCTCCCTGGTCCCTTTGCAAGTCCAGAAGAGCTTACCGTAACCCCTGGGCTTCTCCTGCCGCTAGTTTACAGCCAACCAGATTCAACTCACGGGAACCAGATAAATGACACCCCTGATGATGATGATGACGATTTTTATTTATTTATTTAATTTTATCTTATTTTATCTCATTTTTTAACACGACTGCCATAAAAGCAATTGGGCTTTGTGCCTCGGGATTGCAATCCTTTTGTGGGGATTTAGTTGAGCTGTCTACAAGGCAGATCCTCATACGTGTTCGGCAAGGAGAGAGCAATACAAATCCAGAGGTTCAGGTTGATATCTGACGTGAAACAACCCGATTGACAAGTTCAAACCTCATTACGTCGTACGTAGCAGTTCCAAGCCGTTAGGTAAGAAAGCTTTCCCGTTGCCCAAAGCAGAAAGTCGATTAATGCTCGTTGATCCTAGGGTTATCTCTAACCGCTACACCACGCCCATACCTTCTTGAACTTACCCGCTAGACGTCTCTCTGGTTGGGCCACCGTCCACTCTGATCGAATGATGTTTCTGCTGACTGATTTACACGCTCTCATCTGACAAGGGTGTCTATCATATGCCACGGAGTCCGCTCCTCTTTGACGCCTTCGTCTCTGTGCCTGTCACCTCAGGGCCTCCTCACGACATGCAGACCGGATTCCAGAGCCCCACAAAGTAACCACATGAGCTGGCATACATGAAGCCTTTCCCGGTGGATACTAGCCCATTCATCCGAGCGACTCCCGCGAATTATTTCTGAGGAGGTAGTATCCTTGAACTGGGCATATCAATCTCTGCGGTCACTCACTCATTGGCTCTTCTCATACCAGCCCACCGAGTCGCGATTTTTCTGACTCCTCAGATCGTCCGCTTAGCCGGCGATCCACCCATGTTCCCATCTTGTTGGTCGCTTAGGAGGTCGAGCAGGTCAAGACAACCAATGCACAAGCTCATTTAGATTGAATACCGATTAAGGAACCACCTAGAAGCGGTCCCTTCGACTAAGGAAGGCTGCTAATCAAGTGGCCCAACGATCAACAGCTCGAGCTGAAGCTATTCTAGTGGATAATAGCTTCGAGGCTTGTAGTCCTCCAGAAAATTCGCAATACCGCTCCACGGGACCATCGGGCGAGTTCGGAGTGGGAAAAAATTGCCCGAATTTAGTAGCAAGGGTCATAATCGAGGCAATGCTAGTCAAGTTGGAATTTGTCGCAAATTTGATAAGCATCGACTCGAGAGAGAGAGCCGCAAAACGTATTGTCCGTATTCAGCTTCGATAGTCTCAGCCATTTATCAGATGTATCAGAGGTAGTCTCGCCATTCTGCATAGCCGATCCATTATCAACATAACGGAGTTTATGCTAGCGGGGGGTCCTTGCAGGTCTCATGCCGGAAGAGTTTTTGGCCCGGTACTTTGCATCGAAAAGTGACAGGTCATAATATGCCTATCCTATACCTGCTACAACCAGGCTTGACAAGTAATTGGTCGTACTATTCGGCTATCGCGATATTCAAAATGGTATGCAGTAAGTCTTGCGGATCCCAAAGTCCCACTCGACAAGACAAAGGTCATTGGACTTCGAGAACGTGCATCGACGTCGGTGTTGAGATTCAAGTCAAGCCCAACAGACCTGTCACATTCGTCAACTCATACCGCCTAGTATCCTCCGTTGTTGGTCAACAGAGAATAAGGTTGACGAACATGGCTTCTGCAATCCGCGTATGTGTGTTCACCCGTCCACACGTCCAGCCAAAGGCTATTCGTCCGATTTGATTTCCGTTCTGTCAATTCTTACGTAGCTAAAGCCATGCAGCAGCACTCGGATATGCACATGTTTGAGCATTCGCCTACCTGCACCCAGTTGCCAAACATATTATTACGAGAAGAGGGCAAATACATCTAGCTAGGTACCTACCTATATTTCTAAGGCAAACTGGTCGAGGCTAACCATAAACAGGTAACCCAAAGGGCGTAATGATACTATGTACCAACCTGTTGCACCCTTGACGACGCCACTTGATCTGCTCACCTTCCGTGGGTTTGGGCCTCATCCCTGTTTCTATTACAAAGGTTCGGCAACACCAAAGGAAACTTGCATGGGCTACGGCGTACGGTACCATTACGCTGGGACGAATTAGGAGGGGACCACATTCCTAGTCTCGAGTATCGTGCCCCACTACCGACCTCAAGATAACAGGAGCCATCTCATTGCATCGCTTCTATCGAGAATTACTCCTCGACCATCAGGGACACTAGAAATTTTCCGACCGACGTCACCCGTCTTTAGTCCCCAAAAATATCACTGCCTACCTATTTGCATACCGGGGTACGAGCTGCATACAGTTAGTTTGATACCTGGCCTCCGAAGCATATGGCATCGCTTCTAAAAAAAGGGTCCATCCAATCTTCGGCTCCCATGTCCCGAATTTATTTGATGACAACATCCAAGCTGTTAATAATGTAGCCTATAGTCAATGTGGACGCGGTTACAGTCCAGTTAACTAGTAAATCCGCCCCCTGTTAGGGCTTTAGCTAACGAGCCACGATGCAGCAGTCGTCACCGGATACAACTTAATGCGAAGGTTATTTCTTCTAACCATTGGCGGCGCATTGCCTGCACGGTATGTTGCCGATTGCGGCATGCATTAGAAACAGGTCTATATTGCTGTCAAACGGGTGCTCGCTTGGTTGCTGTTGCACAATAGAGAGGCAGCATCGAACTTTTATTTCTTAACGAAAAATAGTATACAACGGTACAGCGTAGCCGCCTGCCCGTCGTTGACAGCAACCTACTACGTT